TACAAAATTCAAGCCATAAAATGAGCCAATTTGACATTATAATTTTTGGCAAAATTTTTTAAAATTAACCATCTACAAATCAACTTCCATCTCCATAATGCATTTTACCTTTCAAACATGTATAAAGATACTAGAAAGGTACTAATGCAAAATTGAGCTAAGAAAAATCATTCTAAATGAAAATTATGAGAAATAAGACTTAAAATAAAGTTTCATAAAGTTCAATTGAGCTTAAAAAATCATAGGAAAAAGGATCAAGAAAAACTCCCTCAAAAGGCAAAGTAACTTAATGGCACTAGTCATGGCTTTTGCTAGCCTTTACCACCATAAATCCTCCAAAACATATCCAAATTGTCCAAAATTTCTTATTTTTTCTATTTTCACCTATAAATGAGATAATTGTGCTTTTAGGAGTATATTTGCCAAAAATCTCAAAGTGTAAGCCAAAATATAAGAAAATTTGCACTAAAAATGAGCATAAAAACACTAAAATTCTAGTGCAATCAAGCATGTGTCCACAGACCAATGGGCAAACTAGGAGAGAATGTATTGTTGAAGGTTTACCTCAAGCACTGTACAAGTGCCACACAGTGAGATTGGCTTAAGCTGCTTAATGTTGCCCAATTTTCATATGAGCTACAATAAAGTAAGGCAACGAACTAAAATCTATTTGAAATTATGATAAGCTCGTAACCACTCACTCCATAAGTTGTTGTAGTAGGTTAAACAAGGTTAAATCCAACAACTTATAAGTTTGATGAGGCTTGCTAGGAGCAAGAAAACCTTGCCAGGATTTGCCTACACAAAGTAATAAAAAATTCTAAGATGTGGGGAGGTCAGATGATACTGGACATGCAGCTCTAAGTAAGGGACTTGGTGTCGATGAAGTTGCACCCCATAATATGCAACAAAAGCTTGCACAAAGGCCTAGTTTAAAGATATGAAGGACATTTCCAAAAGGTAAGCAAGGTTGCCTACAACATTGCCTACAAGCTAGAAATGCCACCAAAATTAAAGGTACACCCGATTTTCCATGTTAGCATGCTCAAGCCTTTCCATAAGAATCGTGAGGTCTAGGATGAGCAAAGTCATGGTAAGCACCCTTAGGAGCAAAGGCCTCGTATGATAAAAGGTCTTGTGCATACTTGCTGATCGAGTTATGAGGCAACATAATTATAAACCAAGATAGGAGTACTTGGTGCAATAAAAAAGACTTCTCAACAGTGAGGCTAGTTGGGAACCACTCGAGGATCTATTGTAGTTTGAAGACCAAATTAAAAAGTTCCACATAGAATATGTAACAATAATATTGCAAGATCAGGTGGGGAAAAATTCCACGAACCGTGCAAGTACACCAAGCACTAAAGCTCATTCACCATGATCTAAGGCTTGCTCACCAAGAGCAAGCCATGGGGTTCAGGTGTTAATAAGGCAACAAGCATTAAGCTTACTTACACAATAACATCAAGACCTAAATTTATCCATGATTGCTACTTTTCGTATAAAGCCTGCAAGTGCACAAATCAAGCATGTTGGTTTCTTATATAGCCTTTTTATTTTAATGGCCCTTCAACCCTTCTCTTTGTTTTAAGCATAGTTATTAGGAATGTGGTATTGGTCGTGCTATCAAAACATCCATCACTTAAAATTTTTATGGTACAAGAGGGATAGGTTTAGTTGGTACGTTATTCAAGTCATAATATACTATAAAGTAGTTCTTAGATTTCCTAAAGTATTCGTTACTTGTTCTAATTATAGAATTGCAATTATAATTATAATTATAATTATAATTATAATTATAATTATTTTATGTAAAGTTAAACACAATATTGATGTTTTGCTTTTAGCCTTCGAAACAAAGCAAAATCAATAAAGTTGACGTTTCCATGCAATTCAAAATTCTAAAAGAAATTGAGACCTAAATCTCTTAAGTCTCACCTATTGAATTTAGCTAAACTATCTAAATGTAGTGCTTTCCAGTATAAGCCATAGTAGAACAAATCAAAAGGATAAAGAAGTTGGCTATATTCATAACATGGGTAGTGCACCCTATCTTTAAGAGAAGTTAAAATCGATAATTTACTTGTTTCCTCATTTTCATTTCTGGAATATTTCTCTATATCTCTCTCTTTCTCTATCTCGTTCTGCATCTGAGTTTTTTCTTCAGTTTGTTAGTAGGTTGCTATTGTGCTTCGACTATTGTTAACGCTTATTTTCTTGTTTTGTTTGAAATTATGATATTGATTCCTTTTTGTTTTAAAGATCTAGATTTTTAATTATAGTGATCTAGATTGTATACCCTGTGTTTAGGATTGCAAAATAATTACAATTTGGATTCTTTGGATTTGCATTTCTAACAGAAGAAGCAAACCTGATTACTGTGGTTTGAATAAGCTATTTTACTTGTGCCTAACTATTCTCTAAAAACTTATTTTTGTCCTTTCATCACATTTTGATCCTTCTTATGTTTTGATTTGAGATCAACAACTTAGTAAGAACAAGCATGAAGGGAGAAAAAAGTTGGATAAAATGCTTAAGGTGAACGAGAATAGAAGCCCTGAAGCTACAAAAGAAGAGGCATACCGAAAGTTAGAGCTGTTTCAAAGGCAAAAGGAAAAGGTTGCTCAGAGGAAAAAGCTTGAAAAGGAAGAACATGTATACTAGCTAAAATTGTTAGGTGAGAATAAGTCTAGGCCAAAGGTTCCATTTTGAATTGGTTTATAATGAAAACATTTAGCATATATTGGTCTCAATCTTTCATGTTTGCTTGGAACTTTGTACAAAGTCTGAATGCCTTTGCTCTTCTTTTCATACCTTGATTACCACGTTTGATTTGCAAGAAAACCTATTTCCTTTGAAATTTACTGCTACAACGTACCATGCAAGAACATATTTCTTCAATGAAAAATTATTTGATATACTAAAAGTGAAATCTTTTAACTCTACATGTGAGATTAAGATGGCCACACATATCTCATTTTTTTTAATTTTTAAATATACACTAAGAAACATGTGTTACCATCTTAATCTTGCTTATGGAGTTAAAAAACTTCATTATTAGTCTAAAAATAACAAAATTGTAAGCTATTTTCCAAAAAATTAATGTAAGAATTACATTTTTTTTCCATCATTTGCTTCACTTTTTTTCATATTTGTTTCACATAGAACTTGATAATAAAATAAAATGAGTTAACTTTTTTTGGTAGGTAAAATTCAAAACAAGTTGAGGATAAAAAATCTCTATCACATTAGGAAATTATTAGATTGATGCCTTTACTTGTCGAGGGGTTCTTTTTAAATATTTATAAATTTTTTTCTACAATTAATATTAGTATGATTTTAAATTATATTATATTAAATAAAATTTATTTAATAATTTGTATTTTTATATATATTTAAATATATGTGTTGATATTGGTATAATCATTTTTATCAATTATGAAAATTAAATATATAAAAATTAATTATTTATAAATTACATAATAAAATGCATTTGAAAAATTATTTTATATGCATTCTTTAAAAATATTTATATTTTATTTTATATCTTAACATATATTTTTATTTATGGCATAAAAATATATTAATTTTTATGTTATCAAAATCTTTTAACAAAAATTAGTTTTTCTAAATAGTTTTTTATCATTTAATTTATTTAATAAATTATTATATTTAGTTTTTATTCTTACCCTTTTATTTAAAAAGTAATTGATAAATTTGATTCATGTAAAAAATTTAAATAACCAAAAAAAGGGCTTAGAATTATTTAATTAGCTTTTGGATTTAATCTAAATTTTTTAAATATAAATAATAAATGTAAAAAAGTTAGGCCATTACTCAAAAATAGATCAATCCAATTTTTTTAAACTTTGGTCTTAAATCCCCAACCCATTAATTCTCTTCAAATGAATTAATTTTACAAAATCTTTTAAAACTTTAATCCAAAACCATACTCAAAAACTTTTTTGAAAATTTTTATGATAAAATGATTATGTTACAATATTAAACAACTCTTAATTATTTATATTTTTAAGTTGCTTGCTCACTTTTTGAGTTTATTTTGTCTTATTGGTGGTTTTTCAAGTGGTGTTTCGCATTGTAATTGATTACAGCAATTGATTTACTTATTTTTCGGCATTTATCAATTAATGGCGTAAAAAAAACAGTATTCGATTATAAGCAAAGATGTCGATGCAATTCATTATGCAAGTTATGAATACAAAGTAAACGAGTTGTCTATTTCATAGATCTTTCCTCCATTTCAATTTTGGAACTAACTCCAATGATTTCTTTCATAATGTCTATGTATTCCCCCTTTATCGATAACATGGTTCAAAGTTGAAACTCAATTTCAAGAGTTAAAAAGACCTAAAGTCTTAGACATCTAACAATTATAAATTTAATGGAATTCGAGATCCAACAAAAATAAAGAAAAAGATAAATTTCATCTAAATGAAAAAAAAATTGATGACTTAATACTAAATTGAAGCAAACTGAAATTTAAGGATAGCTTTTATATATTGTTATTGATTTTTTCAAAATAATTATAGATTATAATAAACTTAAAAAATAAGGAAAGAAACGTTGAGAAATTATTCTTAAACCATTGTAACAAAAGAAATTTTTTTATTCATAGATAAGAGATAAGAGATAAAACAAGTGTAGGGTCATAAATTATAATAGACACGTGCATGCTTCCCAGTTGTATAAAAGAGATTTCAGAATTGAAGGATTAACTTTTTATAGTTAAATATAATAATATTTAATAAAATTGATGTGGCAATAAAGTGGGTTGATTTGGTATTTGAAATGAATAATAAAACTGATGAGTTAGCCTGAAATTGAACAGAAATTAGAGAGGGAATGATGCCCGTGCTTTGCTACAAGGTTTTTTATTTAGCATAATTAAAAATTTAAAATATAAAAAATAGTATACTAAAAAATAAATAATCAAAATAAAGTCATTCTAATAAATTTGAAAATTTATGAAGCAATGTGCACCTTTTAAGACAATAGTGCTCTTCACCACAGCTTCTTTCACAAATAGATATGTCAATAGGTTTCCCAGTGATACATTCAATGCCTCCTGCGTTAGTTTGAAAACAAAAACAATATCAAACATTAATTTGTAAGAGTGCAAAATAAAATGTAATGATGTACAGCATATATGTGACCTTTTCACAGTTGGTGCATTGCTCTGAGAAACTTGGCCCATTATATTTTGATTTCATCTTGGTCTTTGCAGGTGCGCAGATGCTAACCCATTATTCTATGAAATCACTGCAAAGTTTAAATTCATGCATAAATTAAAAAAAAAAAAAAGTTTTAACTATAAACCTTTATTAGTCTTCAATTTGTTTAGGCATCCTTTATATGCTAAAGTATCTACAAAATGAGAGAAGGGGAGCCAAAAATCAGGCCTAAACTTTCAAGTTCATATATAGCAAGTATGCACAAATTTTAAGCTGAAAGTATAAATTGAGATAAATTGAGATAGCAAAATCAGGCCTAAGTTTTCAAGCTCATATATACCAAATATAAATTGCCTCAGCAGAACAGCAAAATGTATGCACAAATTTTAAGCAAGTAAACATATAAAAATAATGCTTAAATATAATGGTTCTACGTGTATAAAATATAAAACAAACTATTTAATAATCGAAAATACAGCTTAAATGGCTTCTTCTGGGATACGTATCTGCTTGTGTTTTTTTCCAGCAATAAATTAAGAACAACTTTAGTTGTTACTCTATAAAAAAAAAATTTTCACTGTGATAATATTTTCTCTGTTTTGCAATTGTTATGTTTTTAAGAAATGAGATTAAGTAATTTGTTTTTCCATACCTATTCAATGGTTTTTATTTTGTAACTGGTTCCTTTCCTTTCCCATTTTTTTTTTAAATGAAATTGTTAAAAACTTTTGTATCAAATTATAATTTATATCTTGTAAGGAAAAAGCCTTTACCTTGTTCTTGCAAGTGATTCATCATCAAACAAAGCTTCAGGACAGGGGAAATGTGTTGGTTATTGTTGGAACTTTTCAGCTAGTCCTGCATTGCTTGAAATAAGTCAAACCGTTGAATGAGCACATTTTTTTTCCAATCAGAGGAACCTTACACTTTAAGGATATGTATCTGGTAAATTATATTAGAAAGTAATAGTTTTACCATGAAAGCATAAAAGAAAATTTATTACTAGTGTCGTTTGGTTAGCTTCTAAATTTTATTACAATAGATTTGATAAATTGCATTTTAAAAATGACGCGAAATCCACTGAAAATGGATTTCTTTGCTGATAAGCATTTAATTAAGAAGTGATAATATATAATTCTAAGTTAAAAGGGATATTTTACTACCAGTGATTAACTGAATATCATATGTCATATCCGATTAACAAAACGAAATGGTTACATCTTAACATTAAGTACAAGAAGGCAAGTATGAAATATGAAATATGAAACTACCGTCCATATGTCAAAGGGAATGCGTAAATTAGAAATAGAGCAGAAGAAAGCTTACAACTTTTTCAAAATCAAGTTTTCTGTGAGTCTCTTTCTTGGGTGAGAATCTTTTTATGTTGCGTGGTATGCTCCTAGTCAGTTGTTCATCTTGAGCCCTCGTTGTTGAAGCTCTATCCTTTCGCGTCATAGAGCATCCAACCTCGAAGTTCTGTTTTTGACTGTTGTTTGTAATTTGACCCTGATTTTTGGTTATTCTTTTTCATCCAATTCAGCGTGAACTTCTTATTTTGATCTCTATCTACAATGTCCGTCCCTACACATCTAAAAAAAAAAAAACCAAGAAAAAGGGCATCATGCTGAAAATCTCACTTTCAAGGACTTATTACAACAAATTACATCAACCATATTAACCTAATTTTTGGTCTAACCCCCCTTCTACCTTTCTTCCAATTCCTTTCCTTCGCTCCCTCCAAAGCCAATTACATCCCAAAGATTAACTCAAAACAAAATTGAAAAATCACATCTACCAACTGCCTTCAAAAATATAATATTTGAATTGAGGTATGCAAAAGATCACCAAGCATTTTGACTTGAGCACTCTGTTTAGATCACATCCAAGTTATACAGGAAAAAGGAACCACTAAAAACCAAACGAATTTAGTTTTTCAAGGGGACTGTAATATAAAGATGAACACAGAAAGGATTGAACCAAACCACCAGATTGTATCATATGTATGAACACTTGATGACAGTGAGGGTTTTAACATAATTTTCTTTTCATCGTTTTTCCATTAACAATTCTAAATCCACTTTACTGTAACCCTACAAAAGTGCTCATTGTTTTCTTAAAGAATGCAACTGAAATGAAATAGAAATCCAAAATTTTAAATAAAAGCAACAATTAATAACAAAATTTAACAATGATTAAGTAGTTACAACTAAGATTGTTGCAGAAGGCAAAATTACAGTGGCGGTTTTTATATAATACCAGAAATCATACATGCATGAAAGGACAAATCTATCAATAAATTATAGCAAAAAATTTCAACTTGAATTTTGAAGAAGAGAAAAAAGAATACCAAATTTAATTTCAGTAATGTGTGAACAAATATCAATTTTTTTGAAACAATTAGATCAGCTAATAAATCATGCACAAAGAATTCAATCAAAAAATTCAGATCTCCTTTTACTCGGAACCCTAAACAAAAGAAAAAAAAAATGGGGGGCAAAGATTAATGAAAAATCAAAGGGGAATAATTTAATACCAAACTCTTTTTCGGAATTCCAACCTCCGATTTCCAAACTCAATCAAGTACCCACAATCCATCACTCAATATAGCAGTTAATACCAAAAAAGTACATACTTACCTGAAATTGCTATGATAAAGCAATCAATCAAGTACATACAATCCAGCACTCAATCTAGCAGTTAATACAAAAAAAAAAGTACATGCTTACCCGAACTTGCTGTGAGAAAGCACTCAATCCAAAATCTGAAATTTTAATAACACCGTAGGAGTCTAGAAGAAGATTCTCAAGCTGTAAAAAAGGAATATGGATGATTACAAATGAATTAGGAAGTAAAACCCACGTTGAAGAAACTTCTCCAATTTCCAAAAGTCAAAAACTTTGAAACAACGAGGGATAAAAGGTTACATTAGGTTACATTAGTATTCGTAAATTATTTTGATTCGATTCGAAGAAAACTCGAATTCGATTCGATTATTATCGAGTCAAGTTCGAGTTCGAGCAGTTTGATTTATCGATCGAGTTGAATTCGAGTATTCTTATATCCGACTTGAATAGCTTGCGAGCCTAATCGAGCTTTTATATTTAAATATATTTTTATTATTTTAATTAATAAAATATTTTGAGTCCGAGTTCGAGTTCGAACATGAATAATCGAACTCTTGTCGAGTATATGAATTGAGCTTATTTTTACATATTAATCGAACTTAATCGAGCGAGCTCGAGTAGCTTAAATTCGATCATGAATCAAGTTCGATCTTGAAAAATAAAACTCGATCGAGCTCGAATCGAGTATCAAGCCTCGAGTTGTGAATCGAACTCGAGCTCGAACTTCTCACTATTCGACTCGACTCGGCTCGATTACACTCCTAAAAATAACTCATTAATTAGTTAATAAAGATGAACTTCAATCCTTCAAATCTCTATGGTAGATGCCTCTACTATGGCAGTAATCAACAGCATTAATAAGCTGATGGAAATAGCTTTTAAACTCATCTTTGAGTCTCCTGTGCTTGGCCTACAACAAATATCAAAGATTTTTACTGCCATAAACAATAAACCACCTACTACTGTTTTATTATACATCCAAACAAAAGCCCTTTGAGCGGTTATAAATTGAAAAAAAAAAAAAAAATACATGTTCATCAAACTATAAATATCTCAAGTACGTTAACAACAGTTCCTTACAATTTTGTCGAAAAGCTCGCTTCCATCAACAAACTTGATCACAATATAAATCTTTGTCTTGCTTGCCATAACCTATGCATAATGCATTTGAAGCACAGAAATTTCAGTTAAATATTATTATCAGCTCAATAACATTAGGATGCTTGATAAACAATACACCATAATCCAAGGATAATTAATTGAATAAACAATACACCATAATCCAGGGATAAGTTTATTTACCTCACATATCTTAATAACATTGGGATGCTTGATAAGCTTCATAATTGATATTTCTTTTTTTATCTGCCCCAATAAAATCACCATTAAAGAAAAACAAAACGCAACAATGTTAAATGGTCAAAACAAATTAACTAAAGACTTCCATATTGCAACAAAATTTATCATAACCTGAATTCGTTTAATCCCGACGCTTGAGATGTGGAACCCACATTAAACATTGGTGTCAGTGGTGGTCCCACTTTGCTGTTTGTTTTAATGTTGTTTACGTGCTTGAAGGAGACTCAAAGGGATGTTTTTACTTGTTCGACTATTGAAAACTTGGTCACGGTCCAGGATTTTAATGGCCACACACTCGCAGGTCTCAATATTCTTAGCGAACTTAACCTTTGCAAAACTCCCCTCACCCAAGGTCCTTCCGAGTTCGCACTTCCCTACACGCGTCCTCGTCGTCTAAACCTGCACCGTAAAACAAACCCAGGATAAAAAACCAAAGAAAACTTACCTGAAACCAGAAGAAGCTAGTAAAACAAACCACCTTCAGATCGGCAAGTTCCGTCGCTGATTTGCAGCTTATCATCGCCTATCACCGGCCTGCCGTGAGCCACCGCCGTTTCTAGTCATCGATCGGCCAAGTCTATTTTCCCCCTGCCAATTCCCAAAAAAAAAAAAATCCTAAAAGCTCTTTTGACCGAAACGCAAAAACACTGATTCAGTCCCTAAAACCAAAATCAACCCCTTTTTCTTCTTCTGTTTTCCGCCACCATTCAAAAGAATTTTTCCTTTTCTTCTTTTCTATCAAACACTGATTTGAAGTACACAATTCCCACGAAGTCACGAAATCTGAAATTCTTTTTTTATTCTTTGCTTTCTGAACTGTGTTGGATTTTTTAGGTAGCATTTCAAGTTGCATTTTTTTTGGAACAAAAAAGAGGAAAAAAGGGAAACATTAAATGGAATGAAAGGGGTACAACAACAGCTACAAGGTGAAGATCTGCATGCAGGGGATAGAAATGAAGCAAACTCTTCAAGGTTTGATGTTGTTGAGATGGAAAGAGTGATGGGTACTGAAGAAAGAGAAAGATGGCTTGACCATGAGTAGCAAGATGACTTTCTTGATGTTAACAATGCTTCAATTTTCTATGGTAATTTCCCTCCTCATCCTAATTTCCCTTGCATGTCTTCTCCTTCATCTTCTTCGCTAACTCGGCCACTTGTCAAGGCCATTGCATGTTCTTCAGCTTCTACGATATCGTCTTGTTCTTCTGCGGTTTCTTAGGCAGTTTTGAAGTCAGATGCTGATGAAGATGTGAAGAGAAAGAATAATGGCTATGGTCATCAAAATCGACATCATAAACATAATCAGCATGATCTGGTGGATGGAACACTAGCAGCGTTTGTGGGTTTACTGGGTTGCGTTTTGTTGAAGATCACCCATGGAAGAAAGACAGCAAATTTTTTCGCTTAGAAACCTTTCTCCCATTCCAAAAGCTTCCTACCCTACCCTTTCTTGATTCCCCAGAAAGTAACACATTCCGAAGCATTTTACCAAATTTACCCATCAATTATTTTTAATTACTTTGTTGACCTGTACAGAAAATTGAGGATTAAAAGGTTACTTTTATTTATGTTATAGATATAAATATAAGTGTTGGGAGGGTTGGGATACCAATTTAGGTTCGTAAATTTGAACGCTTAAGTTTTTAGGTCCAACCCATTATTTTATCAATGAATGATACATCCTTCCACTATCTCAACAGAAGTAGGTGTTGTTGATTGTGTTTTGAACAAAATTTTTTCAGTTTGACTTTTATTATTCAATTAATAAATTTTACAATATATATATATATATATGTTGAAGAGTTATTTCATTCAATGTTTTTAAAAAAGTTTTTTCATATTTTTAGCAATTATAAATATAAAGTAAAAAATATATCCAAATCAGTAACTAATAAGTTTATTGGGATAGAAGAAGCATATTTTTGTTTTTATTTTAAATTTAAAATATTTATATTATTTTTAAAGATATTTAAATTACAATATTAATATAAATATAATTTTATATTATTTTAATAATTAGTATTATATAAATAAGCAGGTTGTTTACACTAGGCTTGACTTGTAAAATTGGTAATCCAATAGTCTCGACCCGGACTTAGCCTAGGATACGTTTAATAAAGAAAATGACGATGGACCAACAAAATTATTTCAATTTGGATTTTTTTTTGTTATGATCATTTCATGGTTTGGTATTTTATGTTTGAGTCATTTTCGAGTTGAGTTATCTTGAAGTCAAATAAATTCAAATTTGAGATAAAATAAAGGTAATAATTAAAATTTTAATTATTACCATTTTTGCTAGTACTTATAGGTATTGGTAAAAAACAATAGATGCGCTAATATTACCATTAGTGCATGTAGACACTCAAAAACCAAATATCATACTTGGTAATTTTAAATTTATTATTATTTTTTTTTCTTTCTTCATTTCTTTTTTTTTCCTTTCTTTCATTCTCCAAAGTCATGGTGCATTTAATGCATCAAATTCCAACCCCTATCTACCAAGACAAAATTTTGTGTAAAAACTTTCAGTGTTTTCAAGAAAAAAAAAGTCTCTCATTCCCAAATTTTTTGGGATTTGGTTTCTATTCAACTCTATAAAACCCTTTCAAAATTCAATACATAGGGAGGGCCAATTCACAGAAAGGGGAATTGAATTGAAAAGGGGACATTACCAAAAAATTCAAAGCAATCCGATTGACTTTTTTTCCTATACAGCCTTTAATGTGACCACTCACCTAAACCACCACAAACCCGAAACACCTATACTACCATTTCCTTTAGCCAAGCAAGAAAGCTATCGTAAAATGTTCTTTTATCACCATCACTGACATAAAAAGTTAAAAAAAAAAAACTCAAAAACCTAAAATCTCCAGTACTTAATTCTGCAAAAATCTAGGCTAAAATCCCTATATTCTTGAGACCAACGGCCACCACCATCTAACTGTAGCCATCATTACCACCATTCTTCATCGACCCTACCATCACAAAACAACCATCCAAATTTTTTTTTACTGAAACATTAATAAAGAAAAAACCACACGCAACAAAAACCACATCCTCGAAGGGAACAGCAATGCTAAGGAAAAGCAAAAAATAAAATCAAAATACAAAAGAGGAAAAAGGAAAAAGGGTTTTAATCTAGGTGGTTTTGGAGAGGTTTGTGGCCAAAATTTTAAAGGAGATGGGAGTTTCAATGAGGAGATGAACATAGAAAAAAGTGGAGTTGATCAGAGTAGTAGAGGAGGAAATTTTTTATTTTAAAACCTTGGGTTTCGGCTTAACTCTCGATAAAATCCCATTGGTTTTAGGAAAACTAAGTGGAAAAGTGGAAAGACGAAGGAAAAAAGAAATTTTTGGTGTACTTTTGGGCTACAATCAAAGCCAACAACTGGCGATCAACTACTGGCAATGGTAGGTGGTAGTCGATGTGGCGAGTAGTGGCTAGATTCTAGGATTAGAGGGGTGGCAGTTAACTGGGCTTAGAGAGAGACAAGAAGAGGAAAAGAAAGGATGAAAAGAAAAAAAATAAAACAAAAACCAGATTTTAAGTTTTTTATAGGCTAATCAACATCATTTTAGACTCTCAAACTCATGGATTGACTCGTCAACCTATACTCGTACTCATATTCTGACCTGATCCACATGTAAGCTTTTTTTTTCTCATTTTTTTAGGATTTTTTTTATTATTTTTAGTATTTTTATTATTTATTATCTATAACTATTTAAAAAATTAAACAAACTTAAATGATTATTATGAATAATAATTTTAATAACAATACTAAATTAAAAATAAATAGTAATTTTGACTAAAATAAAAAATTATAATTATTGGAGATTGAGAGAGTTTTATTTTTCCTTAATTTTCAGAGGTTAAAAAAATATTTCTTGAATTTCATTTAATTGTTGGGATAATTTAATAAATTAATTTTTTACTATGAAAATTTTTTTTAATATATTAAATGATTAAAAATATTATATTATTTGAATAAATCTATTGAAATGTAAGTTTTTTTTTTTTTTAATTAAGCTCTCTATATGTAAGGCAGCCATAAGAGGACGCATACTCGTAATCACTCTTAAGACTAGGGTGGAGGTTCCCAAGCCCAAAAAGTTTAAGGGGACATGGTCTACAAAGAACGTAGACAACTTCCTATGGGACATGGAGTAGTTTTTCTACGCAATGGGCATCGAGAAAGATGTTGTTAAGGTAAGCATTGCCTCTATGTATCTTGTAGACATCGCACTTAAATGGTAGAATCACAAGTTCGATGAGGCCTGGCATGAGGGTGCTATTATTGAAACATGGAAAGAGTTTCAGAGGGAGTTTAGGCAGTAATTTTACCCACAGTACATCACAGAGAAGGCACTTACCAAGCTACAATAACTCACCCAATATAAAAAGGTGTAAGACTACATTTGGAAGTTCTCAAAACTCATGCTCCAAATTTCAAACCTTGGGGAGGATGAGACCCTTTTTGCATTTATGGATGGGCTCAAACCATGGGCTAAGCAAGATCTAAGGAGGTTAGGTGTCTAGGATCTCACTCGAGCCATGACCACCGCTAAATCCTTCGTGAAATTCAAGAAACGAGACAAGTCCAAGTCTTCCAAGCCCAAGGGTAAGAGCAAAGGTGAAGTAGACAAGGGCAAAAGTAACAATGGCAAGTCACCAACAAAAAAATGAAAGTCCTTCAAAGAGGAAAACAAGAAAAAAGATAAATGGCTAGTGACCGGGGATGAACCTATGATCTATTTTTTGTGTGACGGTCAACATTGAGCCAGAGACTATCCCAATAGAGCCAACCTCATGGCCATTGTCAAGGGGTATAAAGAGTAACCCAAAAAGGAGGAACTAAAGCTTGGTTCGATCATGCTAAGTTTTGTTTTAACAAAGAAAGGGCCTCATGTTCATCGAAATCTCAGTTACGGGTAAGCACTTGAATGCCTTAATAGATATAGGTGCATCTGATCTCTTCATGTTTGATGAAGTGGCCAAGAGACTAGGGCTTAAGGTCGAGAAAGAGGTTGGATGGATCAAGATTGTTAGCTTCAAAGAGGTTTTATCGTGGGCATGGCACAAGGAGTCGAGTTACAACTTTGAGCATAGAAGGCAAGGAATCCATTAAAGTAATCTCTCTCGATGACTATGACTTTGCTATCAGTTTAGATTTTTTTGACAAGATCAATGCATTCTTTATTCATTTTGTTAATTACATTTGCACCTTGGATAATTAGTGCCAATGCATTGATTTGGTGAAATAAGAGCAAGGGATCAGAACCAAGGCACTATCTGTCAAGCAACTTACCTAAAGGTGAATGAAAAGAAGAGCTCACCTTCTTGGTGGCCCTAAATGAAGACGAGCTTTAGGATTCAAATGACAACACCCCTTTGAAGGTGCTAGAGGTGCTGGAGTTTTTCAAAAATGTCATGCCAACAGAAAATGCATAAGAGACTACCATCTAAGAAGGATGTAGACTACCCTTTTTCTTGATCGGTTTGTCATAATATATCTTGATGACATTGTTATCTATAACTGAATGTTTAAAAAATATGTGAATCATTTTTGGTAAGTGTTTCAAGTATTAAAGGAGAGTAAACTATACATAAAGAAGGAAAAATGTTCATTCGCCCAGCATGAGGTCTCATTCTTAGCCATATTATGGGAAATGGCCAGATTTGAATAAATGGTGACAAGGTCCATGCAATCCAAGAATGAAAACTACCAATCAAGGTCATAGAGTTGTGGTCATTCCTTAGTCTAGAAAACTACTATTGATGCTTCATAAAAGGGTACTCAACGGTTACAGCACATTTGATCGACATGCTCAAGAAGGGATAATTTGGGAATAGAATCTTGAGAGTTGAGATGTCCAGATACCTTTAATTGCTTAAAAAAAACTATCACAAAGGAGCCAATTGACAATGTATGGATGCAAGACCTGGATCCAATTACCTTTAAGAGTAAAAAGCTCAACAGGGCCTATCATTAATAGATAGTCCAAAAGAAAGAGATGACCGTCGTGCTGTATTGCTTGCGCACATGGAGGCATTACTTGTTGGAAAGTAAGTTCATAGAGATGGCTAACAATATAGTGACCAATTACTTTCAAAGCCAGAAAAAGCTTTCTCTAACATGGCGAATGCACCACTTTTTATGGCTTTCTAAAAGCTTCTCTTGAATGGTCCTCAAGCTCAGCATCATATAACTATCATAAGGACTCGTTCACGATGCCTGATGCTTGAGCTAAGGTTTGGCCTTCATGCACTGGTACTCAGGCCTTAGCCTTGATGGTGCTCATGCAGGATGTGATGTTCTCCCTCACCTATTTTGTTGACACCTTTATCTTTTTTTTAAAACTTGTCGATTTGATTTTGGAACTGCCATAATGTCTTAGCTGGCTACCAACTTATCTCACTATCTAGCTGGCATTTTCATTGTACCAAACATTCATGCCTAGAAATGTGTTACTTTTATCGCACCACACAGTTGACTAAGATATGCTCAACCTCTTGATCATAAGAGGCTTTAATGCCTACCGATGCTCTTTTGGATTGTCTTTAGGGTCTGACTAGTCCTTGGTGAGTGGCACACTTACTTAACTCGGCTAAATGCTGACTTAGGCATACGTGAATAGTAGTTTCTCGTTTAAGGCTACATGGTTA